CCCACTCCCTGGAAGGGGAAATGGAGAATTGTGAAACTAGCATTCAGTGCTCTAACAAGGTGTCAACAACTGATGTGTGTGTAGAAATGACACAAAATGGGCCTCTTGGTCACATACAGCTGTGAGTAAGAGCCTAGTGATGCCTGGATTCAATTGCTAATGGGGTTATAAATACTGTCATGCGTGTCTGCAAGCAGCCAGCCATGCGGAGGCCAGTTTCCAAAGGTGCTTTTCTTTAAGTGACTTTTGCACCAATAATAGGGAAGGTTCCAAGCAGCTGGATTGTTTTTCTCTGTAGCTAGAAGGTGGAAACATAACCAAGAAGTTACTTGCATTGTGGCAAGGCTAAAAATGACTCATACTTTTCAACAATTAAATACTATTAGTTTGGCCTCATAGCCTTGTTTCTCTGTGTTACCAATTTCTTCCTGATGACAAAGTAGCTGACATGAATGAAAGTTCATTCCTTCATTCAGTCCACTTTCTTCAGCTGAATTGTTCCTAAAGGTACAATAGCTTATATATGAAATGTGGTTTTGATGGCCTTCCAGATGTTCCACACATTTATCAACTGTTCTTAAGAGAATGCAGAGTAAGGATGGTGTAATGGCCTGGCTACTTCTTCCATTATATCACACCACCTTTCCTTGTATGTGGCTTTTTAAAAAGTATACTATTCAGGGCAATCTTCAACTCTTTTGAATCCCAACTCTAAAAATTGCCTGGTTGAGGCTAAAGTCTCAAGCAGGCCACAGACAGCTCTTACTTTGTCCATGCTCATCAGCCCGCACAACTGTTCCAATTTTTCTGTGCTCAGGATTTCCACAAAGTTGGACTTCACAGTATGTCCATGTTTTGTGTGGTTTAGAAATTAATAAACTAATTTGCAAATTACCAAATCTGATGCTTTTTCTTTCCCTTCCAGCTTTTGGTCACTTTTTTTTATTAGAACAGGCAGAATCAAAGAAAATAATGCACAAATCTACTTTATAAAATGATATATTTGATAATTGGACCAGATATTTTTGGGGAAAAAAGCTATATATTTTGGACTTCTTTCTCCTCCCTGACACAGAAAGCCCCAAGTTGGTTTTATCTTTATTTGAGGAGAGGAGAGTACTACAAAATAAGCTGATTTAGGAAGTCAGGGAATGAAGAGGTTTCCCTGTTAAGGTTATAGTCTGATTACTGGGAAAGAGGCTGCAGGTCTGCATTGCTAATTCCCCTCGATACTTGGACAAGGCGCTGTCTTAGGCTATACTGCTGCATGCAATGTTGTGTGCAGTGATCTGTGTCTATGATGTCAGGCAAGGGAGAAGCAGAAACAGAAATGAGAAAATACAACATCTGAGAAAGCAAGAATATAACTAAAATGAAAATGCCCCATTGTGCACAGTATAATCTACAGAGAGATGTACAATCCCAGGCCAACAGGCAAATCTTTACCAAAAATAACATGACTCTTCTGCTACATCCAATCCCGGTCCTTGGAAGAACCGTAGCAAGGAGGTTTCCAACACCACCCCCAGAGTTTCATTCCGTCCTTCAGTTTCTCCACCAGCATCATATAAGCTGTTCATTTAGGAAATGCCTTTCCTATGGTTCTTAGGAAAAAAAAGAGGTGCCTAAGGGGTGCTCAGTAGCTTACCCCCTCTTACTGGCTAAGAGGGGTCCAAGACTAGCACCCAATCTGGCAATTGATTCCTCAACTATACTGCCAATTTGTTTTGGCTAGAACATTTAAAGATGTACTCACACAGCTGGGTTTCTTTATTCTACTTCCCAGATTTCAGAAATTGTTTTTCCATTATTCCTAGGTACTTTTGGTGGGCATTTGAAGAGACATGTCAACTCAAGGATTCAAAAAGCAGCAGGTCCATCGTCATCATGATCATCTATTTCTGCTTGGCCACACTTTTCTCTTTCTGTGCCCTCCCCCCGTACCCCCACCGTTAAGCTGCCTTTTGTGTTAAAAGCCATACAGTGCACCTCCTTCTAACCTCATCTTTGACGCCTCACAGCCTTGATGCTTTTTACCTAACATGTTTATATCATGTTTTAGTGTAATATATGATATACTTGCATGCTTGATGATGACTGCAGGTGACTCATGCAAGAGTCTAAACTGCTATCCAACCAACTATGTCCTCAGATGTAATGACTCCTGGCTAGGAAGAGATGATGTTGCTTCTAAGTCAAGGTTTTTCAGAGTCTGACTAGTAAAGTTGGGTGTGAGTGTCTGGTTAAACACAGAGTAGCTATACTGGCCACTCTCTCTCTTAGTTTGGGGAAGGCTGTTCTTAGAAAAGCCACTTAAACCCTGCTTGCCAAAAATGCTCAAGCTGCTTAAGTGGTACACTAACTACTTCCTCTCCATGAAACCTTTAGAGACATCTGTTGCATTTACCATAATCTCAATTGCATCTTAGAGCGGTAATTTCAAGGGGCTCCAGGTTGTTTTAGATGGCCCACCTTGAACAAGCTCTTGTGAAATTTCAGAGCACCGACTTCTGTTAGAAACAAAGGCTGTGCCAACACTGCAGTAAATGTATGGAGGGGGCATCCAGATACACAACGCAGGACTGAAAATGGGTGAGAATAATGGAGATTCTGCCCTAGTGTCTTAATACACTAACTTATTATATTTGACTAGTCTGACAAAATCGCCAGGTTTACCAACAGAGCAGCCAAAGTATAGTCTTTAGAAATAGGCATTTTACTGCCAGTTGCTAGTCTGTCCATGTGAATGGAACCCAACTTGGGCTGCCTTTGTCTAATTCTCACATTAAATATTTCCATTCTTCTTCAGCACTGGTTCCCTGAGAGCATGTTCTTGCAGGGTTATGTGGCCATAGTGACAGGCCTGTTTACTGTCAGTGATTTTCTTGTGAGTATCCTCTTTAGAGACCTGAAGCGGACCAGTGACTCCACTGAAAGCACATGCTGCGCTCGCCCATCAAGTCTGTGGGGACCAATGAGGATCTAGACATATGTTGATCTCACTGAACTCAGAGTTGGTCCCCCGAGCATGGACAAGACAGGCACTTTTCTTCTGCACGATAAAATTAGAAGGAATGTCCCAGAGCACAGGATGACTGTAAGTGGAATTTGTTTTAAATCGATGAATTTCTTAGGTTTTCTTCGCAGTTGAGTGAAAATGAAGAGAAATAATATAAGAAAGCAGTATGGAAAGCTTCTGGCTCATGAGCAACTTCTTTTAGTAATGTCAGCTCCTTTTGTTTTGCTTGTCTCATCTCTTAATATGAATTGGGGGAAAAAAAAAAAGACCCAACCATGCTACCATATTCCTTTCTTTTGAATTATTAGAGAAGGCAGTTAGCACCTGCACAAATATGGCTTCTGTGATTTGATTTGATCCTGACTGCATTATATTAGGATACAGGGCTGCTTTAATTAGCTGACTCTATTAGGGAGTCCCTGAGGGGACTGATGATTAGCAGGCAGTCCTGGGGGGACACTCAGGTACCTGGCAAATTGAGAGGTTCTGGGAAGAGGCTGGGGCCAGGGGCAAGGCCACACATGGCAGCCCAATCAGGAAGGGTTTTAAGGTTCTTACCCACCTCCAGACTGTCATCCACCAACTGGAGAAGGCTTGGACCTCTTTCCCTTCAAGGCCAAAAATGGATAGTCTTTGATCCTATTCTCAATTCAATCCCAGTCCTCTCTCTTCTCCTCTCACAAGACAGATTAGAAGAGAAGTGACTTAAGGAAAAAAATGTCAGGGGAGAGGTCCAACGTGGTTTCCCTTGTGATTCAAGGGGCAGCAATCATATGGGCTCCCAGGGTCAGAAAAGCTGCCTGTTCACGATATTCCACTCAAAGCTTAATATTAATGTAATCACCTTCTTTTCATTTTGATGTAAAGAATCTTATTTGTGCTCTTAATTTTTTCAACATCAAAGACTCCTGCTTCACCCTAGGTCACATGCCTGTCGGTGTCATGATGAAAGGCTGTGAGTAGCATTTGCTCTCTTGTCTGGAAATTGCCTCCTGAGGTTGGTGGGAGAGGTACAGACACACACAGTTCCAGAACATGATGCAGAGCTCAGCTGAATGCCAACATGGCCTTACCCATTCACAAACATTCTGAAATGTGAAATGTGCTGGGACTGGGTCACTTGCCCAAGCAGGTACTTTGACCTCCAAGCCTGTGTTGGCTTGGGTATCACTGTTTCTTCCAAGAATAAGGGTACAGAATTTCTGCTGGGCAAGGAAACCACAATGAACTCACATAAAAACAAAAGAATGGGTCTTGCTTAACAGCTGATGTCAACTCCCTGTACAGTAATTTCTTCTCCAGGATGAAGTTTATGGCTATTTAACTCCCTCTCTACCCATGTATAATTCCATTTTCTGTCCTTTCCATTATATGAACAACAACAACAACAACAACAACAACAACAACAAAATAACCATTTCTCTCATCTGGAAAATCCATAGTCTTGGATGTCTTAAAAAATAATTTTGGTAAGTTTCAACATTTTTGGTGAGAAAGATACTGTAGGATCTTGACACAACAGGATCAAAATTAAGATCAATAGTCACACCAGCAGCATGGAAAGATCAAGGCTCGAATCCTCTCAAGGCAAGTGTCGTAAAAGATCCTTCTCTTTTTCTGTCACAAGTTTATATATATCAAGCTTGGATTAGAAAGCTTGAAATCTCCACTTTTAAAAACATTTGGAAAATCTTGGTATTTCTTCTCTTCTGGTCTTGTAATGGCATGACTTTGGACCTCTACAAGAAACAATAATCAAATATCCCTACAATGTTCCCTTAAACAGTTTCTCATTGTTCCTGTGGCTTAACAAGGGTCTCCCTTAAGAAGGCACGAGGTGCTTACTGCAACGACCTCAGAAAGAGATGAGCAACACAAACATTTGGTGACGTATTTTTCAAGAACATCCTGCAGCCCTAGTGTTGCAAAAGACGATGCAAGAAAATGCATCTTGCTGCCGTCATTCTCACATGGCTCTGTATTAGTTAGTGGTCACGCTGGCTTCCTTCTGACGCAGTCTTTCTTTCTGTTGTTTGAGGAAAAAATAGGAGTTTATTATCATTCTTTGTTCTTAATTTTCATCTTTCTCAAACTTTGATAAATTTCTCCAAGTTTTGGTCTAGAATGATGAATAGAGTTGTACTCAATGCCCTAGAAATGAGAGTAATTCTATCCTTCTTTCCTGAAATCCTGTTCCCTGCTCCTCCCAACCTGTTCCCTTTACTTTCCAAAAACAATGAATAACCAGCTAATCAATCAATGATATCCATCTAAAAGACTGACCTTTACCATGCGAGGCTGGTTTGTTCTCTTCCTCTGTGACAAAGGTCCTAACTTTGCAGTTACTCAAAGACTCCGCCTACCCCCAAGCTCAGTCTACTAATGGAATTAGGGAATGCTTAGGAAATAGTTTCTGGGGAGTCTAGATAGGAAAAATCACTGTTTCCAAGCTGAATACATCTGCGTATGGTCAAGAGGGTGGAACTGAACAAAGGCTATGCAAAATGGAAGAGGAGCAGATTTAATCCATCCACGTAGCATGGAGGAAACTTCCATTTTACCATGGATGTTCGGCTCTGCTCTCCCTGAGCTTCCTGCCCAGGGATAGCCTTCTAAAGACAAAGGACATGAAAGGCTGCTGGCAAGTTATAAATACAGACAAGAAAATACAAAACAGAAGCATGGATCCTCACCATTTCTAGGACTTTAGAGAAATAAAATATTAAGCATAGTGAGAATGGGTGTATCCACTCTTTGAGTGAGCACATAAAAGGCTTTTAAAAAAGAAATGGAAGAGGTATACTCCTTTGCATGGAGCGGCCCCTTGTGAACAGATCCTCAGCTGCTTGTGATCTATGAGATGTGATGTACTGAGTTACTAAAGTGGCCTACATATAAACTCAAGCTGGTGATTTCTAAATATTTTTTAAAAATTCTATTTATTTGACAGAGAGAGACACAGCGAGAGAGGGAACACAAGCAGGGGGAGTGGGAGAGGGAGAAGCAGGCTTCCCGCTAAGCAGGGAGCCCGATGTGGGGGTCGATCCCAGGACCCTGGGATCATGACCTGAGCCGAAGGCAGATGCTTAACAACTGAGCCACCCAGGCACCCCTCAAGCTGGTGATTTCTAAACACCCATCCTGAGTTTGGATCCCATCTCTGACTTGTGAACTTGAATCAGGAATCAGTTTACGAGCTCTTCCTGAATTCCCACCCAAATAAACAACAACAAAAGAAACAACCCTATCAACTGAGGACTGCAACTGGGAGCTAGCTCACAGTGGAGGTCACCTATAAAAAATGCCACAGTAGGGGCGCCTGGGTGGCTCCGTCGTTAAGCTTCTGCCCTCAGCTCAGGTCATGATCTCAGGGTCCTGGGATTGAGCCCTCCATCGGGCTCCCTGCTTAGCAGGAAGCCTGCTTCTCCCTCTCCCACTCCCCCTGCTTGTGTTCCCTCTCTCGCTGTGTCTCTCTCTGTCAAATAA